AGAACTGGGCCCAGGTCAGAAAGGGCAGCAGGTCAGGGACTCCCCCGCACCAATCGAGTCTGGGACTAGTGCTGGGCCAGTATAGCAAGATCTTGATTCTTAAAAGTAAATAAATAAAGAACAAGCTTCATTCTCTCTCGGGAATGGGCTGATCAGGGGTTTACAACAGGGAGGGTAGGGGCAGAGGTGGGCCCCCGTTACTTCCCTTGTTGCGTTGTCTGAGGACCTCCTGGCCACCTAGAAGGAGCTGGGAGAGGACATTCTGCGACAGCTGAGGAGGGGGAGGCACTTCAGCCCCATGCCAAACATCCAGGGGACCTGCAGAACCTGGAGGCCACGCGTGAGCCTGACTTTCCCTGCCCTTACTTTTGTCACCTTCCCCGCGGTCCCTCCCAGATCCCCTTATGTTCTTGGTTTCCCTGAATTCTGATTTCTGTGGACTTTCACTCCTTCCGGGAGCCAGTGGTCAAACACCATTTCACCTGTGACCAACAGGTGCACACTCTGAGCCCCAAGGGAAGGGGCTGTGCTCCCCCTCCCTGCCCCGGTTGTTCTGTGTATGTCCCTACAAGAATAGTCACCTCTTGCCTTCAGGTGGCATTTTTCAACTTCGCTGGAGCCAGTGCCCAGGAAGAGCAAAGGGTGTGCTGCCAGCGCCTGGCTCACGCAGTGGCTTCATCCCAGAGGACCCCAGTGACTGGGGGTGAGTCTGTGTGTGGGGAGACCCACCGAGCCCTGCAGGGGGCCATGGAGAAGGTGCAGCTGAGTAGGTCCTGGCATGGGCCAAGAACGGTGTGAGTGGGGCAAGGCAGCTGGTTCTTGAGATGTGACCCCATTATTTTGGCTCTAGAGCAACTTTATGGAGGACAACGTGGACCTGAGGAAGCCGGTGGAGAAACTAGAGCTTCCATTCATCCACCTCTCGGGACAGACACCATAAGTGAGCGGGAGGCCAGGGTACAGCAGGGGGAGCTGCTGGGCCGTCAGAGGGGCCCCAGCCTCTGAGCTGTGTCCTCCCACAGGAAACTACATCAGCCAGGGGGCAGTGCCAAAATGCGGCACTGGGAGAGGAGGATATCATCAGGCTGGCCCAGGACCAGGAGATGCAAGTAGGGTGTGCAACATCTCTGTGGGGGTGGGAGTAGGGGTGGGGGTGAACTTGGGCACCGGCACCGGCATGACAGCTAAGCACCCCTCCCTCCAGGTGAACCTGCTGGAGCTGCAGGAACAGGTGTTGCGGCTTGTGGGTGACCACAACGAGGGGCATGACAAATTCCTGACCACTGCCCAGAGTCCTGGTGATCAGGCCGCTCTAGGAGCCCCAATCCCCCAGGAGCTTGGGTGTGCTGACAAGCAGGGTGGTGAGTAGAGCGCTCAGGCGGGGTGGGCAGGCAGGAGCAGGGGAGGCTCACACTGACCTCAGATCCCCTCCTCCCTCTGTCTGAAGATCTTCGTGGCTGAGCCTCACTGACAGCGTGGAGCCTGCACCAGGAGAGGCCAGAGAGGGTTCTCCCCACAACAACCCCACTGCACAGCAGATTGTGCAGCTGCTTCCTCTGACGCAGGACTCTCCAGGAGCACCGAGGCTTGTACAGCAATCCCTGCATGCTATTCTTTTCGGGCTGCCAAGAACAGGGAGCTAAACCATCACTATCATCTCAGAGCTGGTCAAGAAAAAAAAAAATTTAAAAACCTAAGGGGTTAATCTCCTACACAATTCATTTACTTCATTTGAATGTTAGAGCCACTCACGTTTATTTGTGTTTTCCTAATTTATAGTTTAAATTTATTTGTAAAAAGTTAAAGGAGAGTGGGTCTTTCCCTCATGTTCACTGTGACATCCTTTAGCACCTTTTTTTAATTTGATAACTGTAGGTCATTAGCATGCATATCGAGTTTGCCCTTAGGTGGTGGGAGTTCAAACACGCAAAGACCCACTATATGCACAAAACTGTTCTTGCTGGTTTGGAATAGGCTGCCATGCTTTTTTAATGTTATCGCAGCATGTATGTTCATTACGGAATTCGAATAAAATTTGCCTATGTTCTGCTATTATGCTTGATCGACTCCTAATCACAGTGAGCTCTTCATTAGCTCAATATGTGGTTTGCCCTCAAGTACGCTGTTTATTAGTTTGTAATGTGCCACTGTGAGTACTGACATTTACAGTTGTTTAAAGCTGGAGCACTGGAGAGAGCCTTTCCCCCTTTTTCTGTGCATTGGGAATGGGAGGAGTAACACTTTGGGGAGCTTTTTTTTTTTTTTTTTTTGAGACTGAGTCTTGCTCTGTTGCCCAGGCTGGAGTGCAGTGGCGCGATCTCAGCTCACTGCAAGCTCCGCCTCCTGGGTTCACGCTATTCTCCTGCCTCAGCCTCCCCAGTAGCTGGGACTACAGGCACCTGCCACCACACCCGGCTAATTTTTTTGTCTTTTTTTAGTAGAGATGGGGTTTCACCGTGTTAGCCAGGATGGTCTCGATCTCCTGACCTCGTGATCCGCCCGCCTCGGCCTCCCAAAGTGTTAGGATTACATGCATGAGCCACCGCGCCTGGCCTGGGGAGCTTTTTAAATCTCCCAAAAGAGGAAAGTGGCCTGCTCTGGCAGGTGTGTACAGGATAGAATATGTTTCATTTGTTCTGGTACCAACAATGAGTGCGGTACTATGGTAGTTCCCTTAGGATTTGTATGTGCTCTGGGCTCATGAAGATATTACATCATGAGCTGGGGCAGTTGTACTCTTTTTTGATGACCTAAAAAGGGGTTATTTCTGAGGAATGAAAGACTTAAAGTCCTGGTCTTGCTTTTTTTTTTCTGAACTTGCCACTTTTGCATTCTTCGAGTTCAGTTTAAAGGCAGTTACTTTAAGTCCATTTTAAACTCTCGGGCTAGAAATCGTACCACTGTTAATTAGCCACATTATTTGGTCTAACATTTTTTCTTTACAATTCTGAAACTGGGTTTATCTAACACATTGATAAATTATTTCAAAGGTATTTTTGTAGTTCAAATCACTTCACTTTTACCCTGACACATATAAATGACTAGGAATGACCTTCAGATCGCGTTTAGCATCTGTAACCAATCTGACAATAATATGTTCATCAGGTACCTCTGGATTAAATCACATACTGGCATATTTAAGCTGAATGTCAGTCTGGAAATAAATTTACCACATTAACTGAAATACCACTGTTTGTGTAGGTATTTTTGTCATATATTTAAGAAAAAGCTAACAAGGATGGAAATCATATTACAATAACTTAAGTCTTTCTTCAAAGTGTGTGCAGTCTTTTGCAATACCTCATTCGGCCAAGTATTTGTTCTCTTTCTCATTCAGTATAAGGCAGCTTTCAATTTGCTTAGCAGGCAACATTAGAAGGTTAGAGTTCAGCAGAAACAGAATTTTAAAATGTGAGTTCAACTGAATAAATTTGAATTTCTGTAGGAGGTAAAGAATCGAAATGCTTGTATATTTAAAGATTGCAGTATATGATAATCATTTTGAAGTATTTGATTAAAACTAATAGGTTTTCCAGAAATTAAAAAAACCAATTTTAAAACCAAAGCAGATTTCTAGAAAATATGAAAATGTAAATCAGCCCTATCCGGAACATAGTTTCTGTAAAACTTAGTCATTTTACAATAGTATAACTATTAAAAAATGTAACTGCTATTTTAATGTTTTGAAATAAATTAAAAGATTTTAAAATATGAATACTGTAGCTTAAAAGAAAGAAATTGGAGAAGGAAAAGTAGAGAAAGAAATGCCAATTCCAGTCCAAAACTTTATTTGCCAAGTTTTCTTATGATGACTTTTACCAATTTATGAATTATTATAAACAGAATCTATAACGGAAATACTGAAAGACTTTTGCCTAAAGTGGCATTATTGAATACTGCTATGATGCTACTGTAATGTAATAAATTATTGTTACAAAGTGCTGTTTTTGCCTTAAATTTTTATTTTGTGTGTCTTGAAAACTATAGTATTAAAGGTATTGAGATTGTGCAAATGCTGGGCACACTTGGCATTAAGTAATGTTTTTATTTTTACAAAATTGTAATATGACCATGCAAGTATTTAATTAATTAATTAATTTTGAGACAGAATCTCACTCT